AAACTGCCGGGCGAACTTAACCGAATAAAAACAGCAAGAACACGTATCAGGAAGCTGCCACATCTACCCAGACAGTTGGTTGACGACTTGGGAAGTGGACAACTTGGGCCCTCCACAGATGGTCGTTGTTTTTTGACATAGCCATCATGATTTGGCCAAATCCAGTAGGGTCAGGTGAGTCGTAAAGTGTGTCATGCTCTAAAAGGTTTTTGCATGTTTTTGCAGAAGGCTCCTGGCAGGTTACAGAATACCTCTCTTGCTTGTTGGTGGATCTTTTTGTTGCATCGAGAGCGGGAACCTCCAGGGCTCTCGGCCTCCAAGGCTCTCCTTGGCTTCGAAATGGGCAGCGATGGCCACGGAGCGTGGTCCGACCAAGTCGGGTCGGTCCGAGGGAGTGAAGACTGGAGGCCATCCCAAGAAGCAACATGAGCCAACGAAAGCCCCGTTCGGAAAGGCGGATGTACTTTGGTGTTTTTTGCTTTTAGAAGTTTATTTTTTCTTTAAAACATGTTTGGATTCGATGTTGTTTTTCCCGAATGCGTAGCGAAGGGTTCTTGTTTAACTCTGTAGGTCTGGGGGTAGAGCCTTGTTCGCGACTCCTTGTCTCAGCGTTCGCAACCGACCGCCGCCGTCCGCGGTAGGGCGCTAAGGCGCTGCCATTGGGGGAAGCTTTTGTAGTCTGCGTAGTCACATATTGGGATTGGCGTTCGCAGGGTGGTGTTTTTGGGGTGTTGGATGTGGCTGTGACATTGGGGTTTGGGTTTGAGGGTGTTGCATCGAAGCAGTGTTATCGTGACAAGTCTCAGCTGAAATGGCGATTGTGGTGGATGGGAGCGTGCTCAGAACCTGTCGAAATCATTCCAAACGTGTGGTGTGGCGCAAATTTGGTTGAAGCGAACGTGATATGATATTGCGGCAGGTGCAGTATACTTGGTGCGGGCTTGGAGGTGCGGAAATGCGATTTTCGTGGCAGGCGCAGGGAATTGTGAGCTTGCGATGTGTGGCGTTCGTGGCAGGCGCAGCACTTTGTGCGCGTTATAGACGTGTGGACACGTAAAGTTGCGTGGCAGGCGCAGGGAATTGGGAGGTTGCGAGTTGTGATGGAGGTGAATGTCGCTGTGACATTGGGATTGGCGTGTGAGCGGGCGTTGTTTGGAGGGGCTGGAATTGCGAAACTGCTTGGCAGGGCTGCTTGATGTGTGTGCGTGCTTCGATGGGGCTTCCCGCTTGACTCGACTTTTGGAGGAAGTCTTGTACGAAATGCTCGTTTTGGAGACTTTGACGTGTGAGTTTTGGAGGAAGTCTCGTACGAAACGCTCATTTTGGAGACTTGACGCGTGACTTTTGGAGTACGAAACGCTTGTTTGGCAGACTTGACGCGTGACTTTTGCAGAAAGTCTCGTACGAAGCGCTTGTTTTGCAGACTTCAAGTGTGAGTTTTTGAGGAAGTCTCGCGCGAAACGCTCGTTTTGGAGACTTGAAGCGCAACAGTGTCCGACCAGAGCGTTGTATGAGAGTGTCCCACAAGAATGTCCTATAAGAGTGTTCCACGAGTGTTCTGCAACTAAGAGTGTCCGACAAGAGTGTCCTACAAGAGTTTCCTACAAGGGGGTCCCACAAAAGTGTCCTACAAGAGTGTTCCGCAAGAGTGTTCCACAAGATTGCCGAAGAGTGTCCCACAAGAGTGCCTCACAAGAGTGTCCTACGAGAGTGTCTCACAAGAGCGACACACCAGAGTGTCCTACAAGAGTGACAAACAAGAGTGTCCCACAAAAGTGTCCTACAAGAGTGTTCCGCAAGAGTGTCCCACAATAGCAGCAGCAGCGGCAGGAGTAGTAGTAGTAGTAGTAGTAGTAGTAGCAGGAGTAGTAGTAGTAGTTGTTGTTGTTGTTGTTGGTTGTTGTTTGTTGTTGTTGTTGTTGTGGTCGTTGTGGTGGTTGTTGTTGCGGTTGGTTGTGGTGGTTGTTGTTGCGGTTGTTGTTGTTGTTGTTGGTGGTGGTGGTGGTGGTGGTTGTGGTTGTGGTTGTTGTTATGGTGGTGGTTCTTGGTTGTTGTTGTTGCTTGCTTGCTTGCTTGCTTGCTTGCTTGCTTGCTTGCCTGCTTGCTTGCTTGCTTGCTTGCTCGTTCGGTCGTTCGTTCGTTCGTTCGTTCGTTTGTTTGTGTTTTTTGTTTTTGTGTTTGTTTTTTGTTGTTCTCGTTCTTGTTCTTGTTGTTGTTCTCTGTTGTTGTTGTGGTGTTTTTTTTGGCAGTTGTTGTGTTTTTTTTGCAGTTGTTGTTGTGGTTGTGGTTGTCGTCATTATTGTTGCGGTTGCTCTTTGTCTGGAAGAGGAAAAGCAGAAGAACAAAAAAGCGCGGCGCGCCGATATTGCGATGCCACTCGGGCAGTGTAACTCGCACCGCGGGCCCTAGAACATCGCTACGTTGATGCCATGGGGGCGCCCCCCGTTTTTATGTTGTTCCATCCAAACCCATATCGCCCTCTGGACGCTCTCCCCAGTGGCCCGCGAGGATTAACGCATTCGACGGAGCTAGGGTCGGCTGGGGGCGCCCCCCTGCAACCAAAGGTTGACGGCCTATACGGCCGGCGCCTGTGGCGATCGCCCACCAGTTCAGAGGTCGGACCGGCGATTAGGATCCTCCCAACGTCCAAGGGCCACTACTTCGTTGTGCTCGCAGGGTACCGCACACGCGCGCCGCCAGGAGCCTTCTCTTTCTTCTGGGGACGGCGCGCGTGCGGTACCCTGCGTCCGACAGGGTCAGGGATGCAGCGCGCAGGGGGGAGTCGATCCGTCAGATTGGGTCCGGGATGCGCCAGGGGGAGTCGAACCCGGGACCCCAGCCTGGACACCGCTTTGCGCAAAAAAGAATTCTTGACGGCCCCCAGCAGACAAACAAAAGTGAACAAATATCAACGAAACGCGGGCTTTCGTCCAAGTGACGGCGGACCGACATCGCCCACCGTTACACAGGAGTCCCTCAACGCCGGCCCCGCTCCGCTCACGCTCACGTCCATCGGTCTGTATTGTCGGGGATTATGTGCGTGTATATATATATATATACTGTATATATGCCAAAACCTCCGGTGAAGGCAGAATCACTACAGTGAAGACTAAGGCTAAAGGTAAAATGCGGGAAGCCTTCAGGAACGACAAGGTTCAGAAGAAAAACAACAAGGGCTTAGTACATGTTGTTAGGTGTGATCAAAAACCGAGGAACGATAAGGCTCACAGAAACAGAAAAACCATGTTGGGAAGAGTGCGCACTACAACACACAAGAGGTTTTGCACGTCGTTCATTATATATATATATATACATAGCTGGACCCTGAAACGATGTGTTTCCGTCTCGCCAAAAAACATGACGCCAAAGTGACGCAGTGACAAAAATCAACACAGAAATAACAAAAAACCGACACCAAATTTGTTTGTTGTGTTTTTGATTTTTGCCGGAAAATTGTCCCCAATGGAAGTACATGTGTTTTGCGCGGTCTAGGTATATATATGTATCAGTGACATATACAGAATACGTATGCATGAATAATATATAGTTTCATATGTTTGATGGTACATATACATATAAGTGCCAAGGCTTCTAAGTGCTCTAGTTGACTAATTCGTGGTCTCGATGCATTCAGTTGTTTCTCTTCGAAACCCAACCATCAGGAGCTTGCCATTTGGGTGTTTGTGCCGAGAATGAGCAGTCTGTCTCTGTGGGTGGTGGACGCTCGGTTTTTGAGACCAGGGTGGCAGGTGAGAACAAATTGGTAGGATGCAGAAAAATCACGTGCAGGTGATGGGGTGATGAAGCGTGATGAAGTCTATATAAGTCTATGTATCCGCATTCACCCTACCCCCAAACTCCATTCCCCAATGTTTTTTCAACCTCAAAGGGCTTCGAACTCTGGTGATTTCCAGCAGCTCAAAGCTGCACCAGCTTCTACATGGCTCTTGTTTGGGGGAGGGATCACGGAACACGATTGCTCCCCAGACACTTTAGGTATGGAATCAAAAGCGTCCTAATTTATTGTCTATTTTATGGGCTCTACATTGCCCAAACTTGTTTTCATGGGACATCTCACCCTATGAACTCCACCTTCACCCCTCCCGGTTTTGGGGACGACTACGACTCGGGACGGAGTTTGGACGGAGACCAACCAGGCTGAGATGGACGACGGTGTAGCTGCTTCGAAGGGACCGATGGGATTGGCATATATACATTGGGTATGATTGGGTTAGTTTCAATGATGAGGTGAGTGTATATAATACATTCCAGTCCCAAAGAATGTTTGGATTCCCCTGTGCCATCTACTATCATCTATACTCCTTAATGAGCCTTAATGTGTAAACGGATCCACGTACTTCCTCAGATTCTGGGCTTGGAGTCTAGACGTTCAAGAAGCTGCTGGCGTCTAGAATCTAGACGTCCATCCCGACGCCGTTGGTTGCCTAGGCAAGGTGGCCAGTTCCACGAAGTTCACGCCCTTGGGCATGAATGGCGCGGGCCTAAAGAAGTCTGCTGCGTTAGACCATGTTAGACCGACCTTGGGGTCTTTTGAGAGTGTTGTTTTTGGAAAGTCTCAGTGTCAGGGGTGTAAAAACAGATGCTGGGGGGGGGACAATTCTGTGCCTCTTTGGACAGGTCAGCCGGTCAGCCAGGTCATCCTGCACTCCAAGAAGGAAGTCGACCAAAATCCTCCTGACCATATGGTTTGCCCCATCATGTCGGATCTCCACAACGGGGAGGGTTTGCACCAACGATGTTGGTCGATCACAGGCACCGATTGCCATTCTTTTTGAAGAACACAAAATTAGTAATAAGCAGATTGAACAGAGTGGATGTAGAACCTCCCATTTGGGTTGTAAAACATTTTTATATGTGGGGGGGGGTGGTTAATCAAGATTGTAGATCTATAGATCTTAGGGCCCAGACAGTGGCCCAGACTTATCGTCTCTGGTTGGCTTGTCTCGTTGGAAGGCACTGTGCTTCTAGGGAAGACGCCCATGCAAATGAAAATCTTCAAGTGCCCTGAAAGAGTACCTGAGGTGCGGTGTTTGGGAAGTCTTTCAATGAATGGCTGCGGGTCCAAAACCCTGCGTGGGAGGGACCTTTCGCATTCAGGTGGCCATGGACTTTGAGACCGACCGAGATCTCGCCACCCCAAACCTCCGCGGTTCCACGGCGCTGTTCGGTCGACCCGTCGCCGGTCACCGAGGCAAAGAGGTCTTTCGCTTCGCCACCAGCCGAGTGCCCAAGGCTCGGGTCACGTGTGGCAGCCGACCGTGACACCGTGTGGACGAAAGACCCAAGGCTGTGGGGCAGCGTTCAACATCCTGAGTGCCGTAAAGAACGACACCCCCAAAACCTGGCCTGGACAACTGGATGTGTTGGGAGTTGTGTGTGTGTGTGTGTGTGTGTTTTTGGTGGAGCGGTTCTACTGTACCTTGGGTCAAGGTCCGGGCCTGGGTGTGGCAGAAACTTTTTGTGTTCCTAGGCAAAATCGTTTGCATTCTGGTGGAACATTGCTAGGATTCAATTTTCTTGACATAGGTTCCTGCTGCAAGTGCCACTCCAATGACTGTCACACCTTTGCGCATCAGAAACACTACAGACAATACAGATTCCTGATGATATTTGGGTTGATTGTTGATGTACTAACTACCAGGACCATCCTGTCGGGGTGTCCTGGCTGGACTACCCCACACTACCTGGCTTCTAGACAAGGCACCCCGACAGGATGGTCCAAGTAGTGTTCAGTTTTGTCATGTGAAGGGTAGGTGACAGTTGACAGTTGACAGGTGGTTCTCCTAGAAAGCTCCAAGGTCAGAAAAAGAAACAACCCTGTGTTCTTTGGGTGATTTTGGTGCTTTCCCTGTGGGTGAATCCGTTCGCAATGGGGGAAAACAAGAACCATTGCTTTTGTATGTTTTTGTTGTTGCCCAGTTCCAACAAATCCAAGAAGTTCTTGCCGCCATGCCAGACACTCTCCAAGCTCTTGGAGCGATCTGGTGTCGCTCCAGAAGAGGCCCTGCGATGCGGCGCGATGCGGATGGGGCAGGGGTTGGAGTGGTTGGTGGAGGGATGCTCCTAATCTGTTTTTTTGGGGTGGGCATGGGTGGAATCCCCTGATGCTCAAACATATGTGTTCCTGAGCAGGTCCAGGTGTTTTGGCGCCCCTACTTGCCACAATTTTGTTGGGTTTCGAAGAGGATGTTCCAGCAAAGCAGGTGGGGTGTTTGTGACTTTAAGTGACGAGTTGCAGGACTCGTTGAGCAGGTAGGAGTTGTCATTGAGTCATTGATCTTTCACTTTCCCTTTGTTTCGCTGCATGTTGTTTCCATTCATACTTTTCAACGTACGAGCATGCACATCGATTGTTGCAAAATAAATATTAACTATATATAATCATATTATAGTATAATATATAATTACAGTATATACATAATATTGGCGCCACTAGCGCCAGCAAGGAATAGCCTTGTTGGAAGGCACAGGCACCTACTGGCTTGAAATACATCCAAATACCAAATCCATGGAGTCCTACAAGCGCTGGACTGCTTGTCGACTCATTTCAGGGTCTGCTACTGTGGCGAAGTAGCAAAGAATTCAGAAAAAAACTCCAGAAGTAGATGTAGCAAGAAGCCACTAGTAAGAAGGGCATTGCTACGTTCGTAACAAGGGCATTGCTAGTAGCTAGAAGCATCGCACAGATGGCGGAGGGTTGTATGACGGTCTCAGGCCCCGTCACCCGCCCCCAGCCGCCGATCCACGGTGCATGGAGTGTGAAACCCTGCATGTTGGGTCTTCCGATGTTTGTTTTATGACATGTTCGTTTTCTTTTAGGATGTTGATGGGTTTCAAATCGTTTTCAAGCACCCGTGGTGCGAGTTATGCTGCCCGAGGTGCCTTGCATGTTCAGCATTTGTTGCTTTTGCTTTCTACCGTCATTTGCATGTTCATTTTTTGTTCTTTCCTGCTCGTTGCTGTTCATTTTCCTCGGCCTCTTCCTTTTGCTTTTCTTCCTCTTGCTTTGGTTGTTCAGAGAAAGAGCAGAAAGAGGAACAGGAAGGGGAAGAGAGGAAGAGAAGAGAAAGAGAGAAAGGGAAAGAGAAAGTACAGAGAGATAAAGACAGAGAGAGAGAAGAGAGAGAAAGGAAGAGAGAGAGAGAGAGATAGCGAGACGGAGGAGACACTGAGTGACAGCGGGCTGTTGCAGCATCTGCACCGCCAACGTCGGCAGCTGCTAAACTCCTAGACGCCATAGACCTGCCACAGACACATGCGGGCACATGCGCGTCGTCCACTACCGATTTCCCTTGCAGAGACAAGGACAGAGAAAGGGATCATGAAAGAGGACACAAAAACAGACCCTACTTTCGCCGCCCCACCGAGCCAGACACTGGCAGCATGACGACCAACCTCTTCTTTTTCCTCTCATACCGGCCGGTGCCGAGCTGTCAGGCGTAAGCCTTCAAATCCCCCATGCACCGAGCTCGAAAGCGCCGCGCCGCCCCGGTCCAGGTGGATTGGCTTTTGCTTCACCAGGCGGGTGGGTCGGGGGGCGAGGATCACAGAGGCACGCATAACACACATGCCTGATAGGGGTTTTTGTTTGCCAGATTTCTTGCCATGCATGACACTTCTTGTGGAATCAGGTTTTGTGATATGACTCGAAACTTGCTTGAGTTAGGAAGCACGAAGCATGGTTCGCCACGATTCAATTATAGGGCTTATCGGTTTAGGGTTTATTTGCACTGTTATTTGCATGGAATTGCTGAGAAATTGATCATTGTTAAACATTAATATTTAGAGCGAAAATTGTTTTTGTTGTTTGTTGCAATCGAGTCCACAAAATTGATGAGTCCATTCCGAAACATGATTTACAGTGATTTTGCTGCCCCCTCAAAGTGCTTCAGGGCAAACCATGAGTCCTGGACGTACTTTTCATAGACATATCATATATAGGCATTTAGTCCCAAACCCATTCTTTGGGCGGCTTTGACCGAGCAGAGGCCTCTGCACAATCAACATCAATCAACTGAGCCCTTCTTTGCATTTTTTGATCACAAGCACAAGTGATTTGGGAATGGAGCTACTGAACTACTGTATATCCAGCAAGATCTCAAGAGCAACGAACCAACCTCATTTGCTGGTTGAAAGCCTCTTCGAGCCTCCTAGAGATGCTCTAATCAAGAGTGACAGGAGACATCATGGACCATCTCAGACGTGTATGTTTGATGGTCCAATGCCTCTCAACCGCCGCATCGTGAGACGAGTCACATAGGCTGTCAAGGTGCAGTGTCCAGCATCACCTCAAGGAAAACACCTCGAACATCATCGCCTCTTGAGCATTCGCTTCAAAGAGGGTGAAATGCAATCTTTACTTGATTCCAGAGTTCTTCTTGGATTCAGAGATTTCTAGGTTTCGTGACAGTGGATATGATATGGACCTTGTCAACAAGCGTGTTTGGCTGAATGGAGTCGAGGAAGAGAGACGTTCGACTGTGAAGACACGAGAGTCATTTTCTTCAAAAGCCAAGACGTCACCATGGGCGGATGCCCAAACGACGCTGAGAAGGAGAAAGAAGCTGAGAAGGAGACAGATGACCAGGCGGTTCTTAGAAAACAGAAGCGACCAACGTTAACGTTGAAACACTTCTTGAGAAGTGCAGCAAAGCAAGGGCAGCTTCTTCTCAAGAGTTGAATTGGCTTGGCATGAGGAGTTCAACCAGCTTGGCAAACTGTTCCTGGATGTTTCTGGCAGATATGGAGGAAGGACACAAAGAGGTCTCTGTCTGATCCACAGCTGCATCAGCATATTTTTGCGCCTTTGGGTGGGTGGCATACACGTTCAGCTGCGACTGCGAGACTGCTACACGTTTCGCTGAACTTGGACTGACTAAAACTGTGGACCTGAGGCTGGACGCCTTGACGCTAAATTCAACATGTATATCTACCAAGAGTTCCATGTTCAAGTTCGAGTGCCTGGAGGGTTTCCGTGTGCCCATATCCACACTTCTTCTCCTGTCAAGGCGTTCCTCCCAAACCGGCAGGGCGGGGGGCCCACCGACGAGTTCTGCGAAAGGCCAACCGGCGCATCATGGATTCCGCAGCGAAGCGCTTGGGCGTCCCACAGGCGGGGAGAGGGGAGAGGGGTCCGTGGAACCCACAGGGTACAGGCAACAGACAATGTCATGCCCAGAAGCAAGAGTAAAGCAGAATTATCTGCAGAAAGGCAACCTTTTTTGCAGGACTTAGGCATGACTTAGTGTTTTTTTGCTGTACAAATCAAGAGTATAATCCTCCTTTGTACTGCCCAAATTCTTTCCAGTGTGTGAGGTATATATACACATTATAATGCTGATCACCGCTTAGAAGGTACTCCTTGCTACAAAAAAACAAAACGAAACGATACGCACTATCTTGCACTCAGAGATGGTCCCCCCGAAACCCGAAATGTTTCGACACTTCTGGAAGTAATCCCCAGAAGGATCATCATTCCAGTGATGTTGCGGTTCATATTGCAGATTGTGTTTTCGATGTCATTGGCAAAGACGCGGACGTCCACACCCTGTCATTTCCAAACATCCCTGCAAGATCTCTAATTCAAACATCCCTGCAATATCTGTTGAGAGGGTCCAAAAAGAAGCATCAACTTCCACAAACATGTCCAAACCCATGCCTTTCCAATTCAAGTCCTGCGAGAGGCGACCCATATGGGGTTTATTAATCAAATGTGTATATACTGTATAACATTATTGATAGATGATGCCACGGAAGGTTTTCCTGACCCTCTTCCATGGGAGCATCTCAGACGTGCCTGGTTTGGTAGTATATGCAGGGGGTAGAACCCCTCAAGACATGGGGCAGTTCATATTCCAGGGGAGGTGTGACTTTCCATTGCTCCTGAATCCTTCTGAAAGGGGTGACGCACCTTCAACCCTACTAAGCTGCTAAGCTTCTCCCCTCTCAAGATCCAGCATTTGGGCCAATGCTTCACCTCTCTGAGCGCAGGCCACTGCCCTGGCCAAGAGAGGTTATAAGCTATGACCATACTATAGGGGCTCCTGGCATCGCTACAAACGGAGCAAGGGTACAGTAAAAAATTGGGATCATCTTTTTCGGACATTCACCTCGATGCGGATTCACCTAGGAGCCCCCAGGCTTCGATGCGGAGGGCATCCGGGGCCTCGAGAAAGCGGTGTTCGATCCGATTCGCCTAGGAGAAGATCATTTGCAACCTCGATGAGTACGGCAACACCTCGGCTGCCTCCATCCCCTTAGCTCTCGATGAGGCGAAAAACACATGGCCGGACAGCATCTCTCTTAGTGCCGCTGTGTCGGTGGTGAAGAAAGAGGAGACGGGTTCACCGAGGTCCAAGTCCGAAGCAGTGACCCAAGTGGTCCAAGTCTCACATGGTCCTTCCACACACGCGGATTAGACGTTTTCCTTTTGGTCTGGACTCCACTAGGCTCCACTGACACACCTAAGGGGGTGCTTGTCAGTGTTTGCCGAGTTTTCACGGCGTTTTTTGTTTATAAGGTTGCTCATGTTGCCTTCTTTCTAATGTTGCTCATTTTGCTTTCTTTCCTTGTCCATCCTGTGAGAACCCTACGCGTGACGTGTGACGGTCCAGAGTTGAAACATCACTCCTCAATTAATCCCGTCCCCCTAATAATAAACACGGCCCCCCCCCCCCCCTAATAAGGAAACCTCGGTCGCATTTTTTTTAATAGGGGGTCCCTGAAATCGGGGTGTCCAAAATAGGGTCACCTGGAAAGAGTTTCAAAACCAAAAAGTAATCCAGGAAAATTTTATATAAAATCCTTTATTAAACTCATATCAAAAATGCAAAAAACCGCCAGATCGAAGGGTCTTCCTCCTTTTCCCCTACAAAAACCTTCATTAGAATAGTGATTCTTCAGTAGACTAACAGCTAAAGCTTTCGAAAGGTGATGTCGCTGTGCCATGCGGTGTTGCGTGACCTCGGTGGCAAGTGCGTTTGCGTGAGTCCGTGCCATTGAGGGAAGGAAAGCCTGCTGGTGTAAGCGCGGCGTGTCATGGTGGAGTTTTGGGGAACCTAATAAAAAAAACTACCCCCAAAATCGACCATGTTGGTAGTTTAGTAGCGGTTTGAAAGGGCGGCAATTTAAAACCAAATATAAACCAAATTTAGGGGATCCGGCATGACTTTTTTTTAATTGGGGTCCGTTTTTTAATAGGTACTCGGGATTACTGAGCTTTTGGAGTTTGAGGAGTTCAGAACTACCTGGACCCGACTGACCCAGTACCTTAGGAAATCGACCCAATAGAAGACAGGTATACCGTATGCTTGTACCCATTTTCCCAGGTAACTGACTGAGACTCCAGGTGCAGGTCTGGCTGCCCCGCAGCGCAGCTTGCGCTCCTCGCAAGGGACGCTTCTTGTTTGGTTGATCCTGCGGAGTTTTTCCCAATCCCTGGGCTCACAGCTACAAAGGGTTTGGACCAACGATTACAATCAAAAAAAAAAATGCATTGAAAGGGTCACAAAGGGGTGCCTATTGGAGGTTAGGGGTGCCCAGAACATCCACTCACTTAGGAACCAAACACCACCCCTTTGTGACCCCTGGTTGATGCCCTTCCACATGCAGCGGACTTTCGGACTTGACATGCCCACGACTCGCCCCTCCGACTCGCCCCTCTGCGCGCGTTGCCACCGGCGGCTCCGGCTCGGGGCCGGTGGGTCAATCGTGTTCTGCACGGTGACAGTGTCGGTGTCAGGCGATCCGCGAGGGCCGCGTGAAGAAGGGTGACCTCTTAGCTTGCTGCGGCTTCGGTGCTGGACTCACCTGGGGAGGCAGACGGCTTCTCACGGCGGGCCGACGGAAGCCGACGGTGTGCTTGGAATGGGGCTGAGGTCTGAAGTGGTTGATAGTTTTTGGAACCTTTTTCAGGACGAGGTTTTGGATGGTTTTGGGATGTTTGTTGGTTCTGCTTTGGGATCTTTGGGAATGGGATTAGCTTATTCTATTAGCCCACTTGACCCATATTATGGGGAGGCTGTTGTAGTGTCTAAGCTGGAGATATGGCAATTGACCAACTTGTGGAATATTCGAATGCCACAGGGGATGACCCATTTGTCCATACTCCCTGGGACTCCAACCACGACATCCTCAGAGGGTAGTAGATAGACCGTGTTTGACCTCCCCAAATGCCTTCTCATGAGGTAGTTGGAGCCCTACAGTAGGCCCCACAGAATTACATGGCAACTCTAGTCTATGTCTCGCCTGGATTGGGTGGAGACCCCTGGCAGAGCGGTCGACTTGTTTCGAGGTGTTTTTGGTTCTTTTTTTCGGGTTCTGAGGGGAGTAACCCAGTGGAGATGTTCATCAATGTGGTCCTGAGTCCAGAAGAACATCTAGAACTGGAACATCTGGAACTGGAACTGGAACAGACACAGCTGGTCAGACACATCTGGAACTCGAACGTCTGACCAGCTGAGTCAAATCCCCATGTCAAATCCCCTGGACCCGAACATCTCTTCGCGTGAAATCGGAGTCCGTGCTCGCCGATCGGTCACTTGGTCACTACATCCAGGGGTCACGGACGGTGGACGTTGCTGTCGCCCTGGAGGGTTTTTCGCGCTAAAAGAGCAGCCTCTCTTTTTTCCGCAGCCTTATTCAGAAGCACCCGCGCACAGCTGGCAGAGACCAAATTTGTGGTATGCCAAGGAGGCGTGTGACTGTGTGACGCATAAGGCAGAGGGACATGGCAATTCATCCCGAATTACAACCCCACCAAGCACAGCCCGCATGCTTTCGGTGCAGCCCGAAGCTCTTAATTCAAGAATGATGCACATTTTGAAGCATGATCTGCTGGCTTTGCCAGAAAGAGAGGGGCCCACGGCCCACGTGTTGTTGACTGTTGCTTAATATAGATTTAGACTACTGTAGTCTGTAGTTGTCTCCGAAGACTTCCCAGCTGTTCGTTATTTTTCCATCATGCCGTCACCGGCGAAAGAGGAGCCGCAAGGCGTGCCGGTGCGAGCATCGCAGGGGAACGGTTTTTGGTGTTCTATCCGGCTTGACCTCTTTTCCAGCTCATCGAGGAGACCCTATAAAGAACAACTGCAGTTAATGCCAAGGAAAAGCCTTTTTATCCCCGAAGCCATCCAAAACCAGCCAAAACCAAGGGAGGCCCATGATCTCGTTCTTAGACCAGCATGGCAAAGCATGGAAAGAAAATAAACAACGCGAAAACACAAAAAAAACAAACGGATTCTGTGTGATCCTTGTAGCAGAACGTCGGGAAAAGCCTCCATGCTCCGCGAACGCAAGCTCCATGTCGGCTCCGTCCGCCAGGCTCCGGCCAACAGCCGACCGATCGGTGAGGCTCCCCGTGGGCATTACCTGGCCTCTTGGGGGTGGCCGCGCTGGTGGTCTTCATCTTCCCCGAGCGTCGCTCGTCGGGGAGACAGCCGTTGCGTGGGAAGGAGATCGGAAGGAGTCGGAAGGAGTGGGGTGGTGACCTGAAGCGATCGATTCTGGTGAAACGAATTACATCATATTACATCGATTATCAGATAATTCTAAGACATAGTGCTTTTGAGGTCATCTTAGTATACACACTTTTGAGTTCTCAGGTTAAAATAGGCAAGTGTAACTAATATAAGACCTATAGCAGGGTCTTACTTTGGAAGTGACCTATAGTTAGCCAGCGCGGAGTTGCGTGTCCTGGCTTTTAAACCACTACGTAGTGCTTTGGACTCTGCCTGCCCTTTCAAAGATAGAGTATGATAGAGTAATGAGGCACCAAAAGCATGGCCGAGAGCGGAGGTCTGACAGATGGGCCCAAGTGACGATTCGTGACTTGCCTCGTTTGCATGATTCTAGAGGTGCCAAACGGAAACCATCACCATCTCCAAGCCAACTTTAAAGAGTGTTTGCTTTTCTATCATGGGTAATACGGTAATCAGAGAGATAATACAGAGATCGAGGCGAAGCTGTCTTGCAGTTTGCACGGGCAGCCTTTGTCAGTAGACAGTAAGTTGAGCTGCTGTAGACATGATATATCATTGATCTATTATTTACCATTGATTTTCAGTTCTCACGTTTCTCATGCTCCTTGCTGACGTGAAACAGGCTGTGGACGTCGTTTGGGGTAACTCACTTGCGGTAGCATGTGTGGAATGCGAGGGAATGTCATCGACTGTGGTGGTCCAAGACTGGTACTCGAAGTGAGTGGCTCTATGTCCGACGGGGATCATCGACCAACCACAACAGTGGCCAGTTGGTGAGTCAAAACAGGGGAGAAGAGCGGTCTTTTCCTCCCGAAAATGCACAGAATAGAGACTTACGGTATAGGGCTTTCACCTACCAAGAATTAGGGGCCGGGTGCCATGCCCCACGAATCCCAACGTTTTTTCGATTGTCAACCTTCCCAAGTCGGGCAGGATGGGACCAGTGACCCGACCCAGGGGCACACACTCCAAACCAGGATCCACAAAGTCAAAACCACTGTTGTAGAATTATACTATATGCGTGTGTTTCAACAAAATAAGACTAAAACCACTCTTGTATATTTATATGTACCTTTCATCATTGCTCGGATTTGCCGCCCGTTTCAGAGATTCTTCCTCACATCTCACCAACACACGTCTAAGCCATCCCTTCAGCCATTGGCTCCTAGGGAGCCGCGGTGCGTAGGTTTTTGAACGCCGCAACTTTTAACACCGCGGCGCAGCCCACAACGATGGCCCTGGTGGCGCCCGCTCCGGGCGCGAGTGCATTTGTGGCCTTTCCGTCCGCCGCAAGGCCTTTGAGATCAGAGCTGCTTGGCCCATCAGTGCGGGGGGAGGCTGCGTCACTGTTTGCCAAGTGGTTACCTCAGTGAAGCTACCAAATCGGCCAAATGGGGATTGTCAAGAGTCCTTTTCAGCTGCAACCTCGTGGTTGCATTTTTTGATCTGTAGTTCAACATACCTTTATAATCCTGAATAAATATAGGTCCGTGAACCACACCAAGTGGAATACCAGAAAAACTAGAGAGACACCCGCAAACTCAAATATCAGGCTGTGACTCCAAAAGATGATCTTCACGCCGCAGATTAACATCATATATATATAATTATAGATAATATATATATATAGCAGGACACCCTAAGGGGTGTCTATTGATAGCCCCTTAGAGGTTAAGGGGTGTCCATACAGAAATACGTGGTATTGTCGATGTTTTGCTTTTCAGACCCTTTTCAGCGGCATCCCTTGGCCCATGGCCGGCCTTCTCCGCCCGCTCTTCAAGGCCCAGCACTTCGGACCGCCGTGCTGCCTATGGCGCCACTGGCAGTGCGTCTTGGTTTGGGCGGAGCGATCTGGATGTTTTTTGTTTCCCAAGATTTTCCCCAAATGCTAGCTTTTTCCCGACATTTTTTCAGTGTTTTCGCTTGGCATTGCTTGTTGCCTACTTTGCTATAGGGTGAATTGCGGGTGAATCCCCTTTTCTACGCAGTCGTCGAAAAGCTGTGGCCTGGGGCTTGAGTCGCCTGCCAAGATACACGTACATGACCTAATAGCGATGGCCTCCAACCTAAGTCGGCGACTTCTGCCTAAGATGACTTCTGCCTGCCACCAGCCCCCATCATGCGCTGAAAACTGGTGGCCTAAGATAGACCCAATACACATCAATACGGGCTGCGCTACTAGTAGCTAGAAGCTACTAAGTTGAAGGCCATCGCTATTAGGTTGGAGGCCATTACTAGTAACAAGAAGCTACTATATATAGTAGCTACATATAGAACCCTAGGGATCCAAGTACCTTCTCAGAAGGCACTTGGACCCTCCAAAGCCACCCCAGTCCTTACTACTAGTAACAAGAAGCTACTAGTAGCTATAGAACCCTAGGGATCCAAGTACCTTCTCGCTTTCTTGGACGTCCAAGGCATGGACCTTCTCGGCCCTCACCGTCGCGGCGGCCGGAAGCGGTGCACGGAGGGCGCTGGTGGCACGCCGCGCCGACCGACGGGTGGTGGTGACTTGGTCGAGGCCACTTGCGCTCGACTTTCCGACCCCCAGAAAGACGTGGAAATTCCCTGCAAAATACATGTGTTTTGTCTTCGAAAACGATGGCACTCCACTAAACTAGGGCTCAAGTGGAAACTGGAGTCAGCAGCCAGGTTTGTGCCATTGATGCAAATATGTTGGTCAATGGGCATCGTCCACACTGTTGTGGTCAAGGAACTGCACCATGGTCATCGTCGTCATCATCATTTGCAGCAGCCAATTTCTATAGAAACCAGCTTGCCCGTTCCACGGGCTGGAGAGCCACACTTTGATTCAACAAAAAAGAACCCCTATGGACCGGTCCTACAGTTGAAGGAAGAGGAGCTGATCGGAGATCGGTCATGCACGTCCCATCTCAGAGGTTCTCAGGTTTCGTGGAGAGTCTCCAACCCACATACCTTCTCTTTGTTGGGACGGGACCTTTGCATAGGCTGCATCCGGTTTGGGCGGGTGCATCCGGCTGCGACATGATGCTTGCATATTGCGAAACATGTGATATATTGTCCAATATCATGGTGGGACGCAGAACATTTAGAACATGTTGGAAGATGTGAATACAGACTCAACTCGTCCATGATGTTGGGGCGGCCGACGTGGGGGCAATGCATGCCCACAAATTTCTCAGGTGACCGGTATGGGCATTACCAGCTGCTTGGGGAATACCCTGGATGAGGTGGCGGATAATTTGCAGCATCTCGGAGCAAGTGTGTTTCGAGGGACACGTTCTTTTTGTTTCAAGGGAGGGTGAGAGTGGACTTGGAGGGCGGGGGACACTGGCAGAGGGGGAGGTTTGAAATCATGCATATAAATCATCCTGCATACCTACTGCGTAGATTAGATCAGCATCAACATCATGCAATATCGGTTGAGATCCTACCGTCATCCACTGTTGCAGTAGTAATGAGGAAACTATAATAATATTACTGTTTGGGGGGTGGCTCGTAAGCTACTACATTTATGATCCACCAGCGCCAGCGCATTGATATATTTGTTATTTCAGAAATTCAACAATTTGACTTACAAAGTCCTGGAACAGGTGTAGGAATGTCCATGTATGTCCATGTATGTTTTGCCAAATAGTTTTACATGCAAGATGTGTTGGTAATTGTTCCGCATTTCGCGACCCACTGCGCACAACAGGGTGATTGAAGTGGTGACTGCTACCATATACAGATTACTCCGCATGCAAGATTTGGACTTTCTGCCCACTAACCCAACTGTTCACTTTCTATATCTTTTAACCATATACCCAACTTCAGATGACAGTATGCTATACCCAGTCCTTGGTTTTTTACTCATGTCGTGCTGGATCCCAGTCCTGCATCCCAGTCCTCCCCAGTCCGGTCCATCCCAGTCCAGTCACGGTCGTCCGACCACGTGTGACCGGGACTCCGCACCGAAGGGGACGGCCACCCCGCATGGCGCATGGCGCATGGCTATCACCCCGGTCATGGCCTGTACATGCGATTTCGAAACATGGTATAGAGTTGCAAGATGTGGAAACTTCCATGTCAATCCCAACTGAGAATCAACCATCCAATGTTTGAAACTCTGCAGCTATCACCCCTCCAAGAAAAGACACGATTTGAAGCCAAACCCATGGCTGCAGGAAGGGCAACTCGGGCATCACCTTTTCTGAAGAGCTCCTCGACTGCATCGGTGGGAATCGATGCTAGCTGTTTCTCAGGAGGGAGCTACCAGCATGGACCCTGAAAACCACTGGTTTGTAGAGATTGTAGAGGAAAACAGTCTTTCTGGGTCCCATTCTCAGGGTCCATGTTAGTTTTCGCGGGTGTAAGGAGTGCGTCGTATCCATATTCCCCATGAAAACAGGGAGTCTATGAAGTGAGAGGGAGTTCCCCAGCACACTGAAAGTTGGTTTGCTTTGGCTCTGACTCAACTTGTATGTTAACTAAATCACACAAGCACGCTCACAAGCTGATGAACTCTCCGGTTGTAAGTTTGCCTGTTTAAGATTAAAGTTGAGCGAGCCACACAGACTCTGGGGTTGGGTGCCTTCCAAGGGTGGGACTGTCAGGGAGGCTTGGCGACTGAAAGTGGTTCATCTCCATGTTTTGACACCAAAGAAGATCAACTCCATGAGTTTCAGATGTCGGAATGTTTTGCACTTTATAGTGATCCCCAAATAGATAGTGGCACGGTTTCCAATACATTTTTAGAGGGGGTCTGCTTTTCTATCTACTTGAGGGGTCTATATGGATCCATCCATTGAGTGGAGAATGGCCGAATGGCGAATTCGAATCACCACCAGGACTGCTCAATCCTTGAGACTCTCCTTCAACGACGAGTACTCCACAAGTATCCACAAGTGATAGTAGTTTGGAAGCCCAACACAAGTGTGTTGGGTGTGTCCCATTACCTGTAACAGTCGATAACAGATCATCAGTAAGCATTTAGAGAAAGGCCTCTATCAACCAGCATGATCCACTGTCACAAGGAATGTGATATGCCCATATATGCCCAACAAGTGTGATTGCTTCGTGTCTACTTGCCCTACATTCCTTACAAAGACCCAGCTCCAAGCTTGGAAGTGTGTGGATCCGGATGACTTGGTCCGTCATTGATTTCATGACAACCCGGGCCTTGGGCGATTTCAACCGCGTGTCTCAACGATTCAGAATTGGCTCCTTTTCATCCAAAACACACGCCATGCCGTGCCCACGCCACTTCCAGCGCTCTGGCTTCGTGCCCACGCCACTTCGAGTGCGGAACCTGCCCCTGCCACTTCAGGTACGAACAGCTGGGCATTAAGAGCAACGTACGGGGACGGCCGAACTTAACTCCTGCGGAGATCAAGGCCGGGGAAGAGAGGGAAGCGGCGGTTGGTTGGTTGGAGCCCCACACAACGGGGCGAGCGGGGTGCGGTGCGGTACGGAGAAGCTGTGACGGAGAAGGTGAGGCATGCGGAGGATCCAGCGTAGGGGCAAGGAGAGAGAGAGAGAGAGACGTTCTCCAAAATTGTGAATGTTCAGGTGCATGGGCACTTGAGTTTCTTGAAGAATTCGGAAGGATCCCGAAGACTCTGTTCAAACAACCTGGTCGTAGTTTGAAAGGAGGGCACTATATAATATACGTACTTGATCAAGCAGCCAGCATAAGTCAGAAATACAACCCCAACTCAAACAGGCCTTACTATTCCGACTTCACAACCTCGGTGCCTGTCGGTGCCTGTGCGAACCTCACCTCGGACCACGGACCGCCGCGGACCGAAGGAGTTGATCCCACGAAAGACCTTGCGCTTCATGGGGCCCAACGCGCAGTTCGCCTACATCGCCCTGGACCGGGCCATCCAGGACGCAGAGAAGACGGAGGGACGGAGGGATCGGGGGTGTGGAGGGGTAGTGGGGGTGGTAGTGGTAGTAGTAGTGGTAGTCGTGGTAGTCGTAGTAGTCGTAGTAGTAGTAGTAGTAGTGGTAGTGGTAGTGGTATAGTGGTAGTAGTAGTGGTAGTAGTAGTAGTAGTCGTAGTCGTAGTGGTAGTGGTAGTGGTAGTGGTAGTAGTCGTAGTGGTAGTGGTAGTCGTAGTCGTAGTCGTAGTGGTAGTGTTAGTGGTAGTAGTAGGAGTTGGAGTTGGAAGCGTATCCACAGCAGTGGCAGTAGAAGTAGAAGCAGTCATTGTGGTAGTAGTAGTAGTAGTAGCAGCAGCAGCAGCAGCAGTAGTAGGAGTAGTAGTAGTAGACACAGTCGGAGAGTCATTGTCATTGTCAGAGTGATTGCCATCATGGTTGTTGTTGGAGGTGGTGTGGGAGTTTGTGATGCTGCTACTGAAGCATTTGCTGGGGATTTTGATGAATCAAAACGACAGGTACCCTCCGGTTCACTAACTTGGAACTGGAGAATGGGCCCTGGAAGAGCATTTTCCTGTTGCAGACAGATTGTCAAGTTAGTGAGCCGGATTGAGTCGGAGACGAGGTTCTGCCATTTGCCAATGTTGGAACCTTCACCCTTGAGCCTCAAGGTTGCTTGACTCTCCAACAAAGGTTGTCCTCTTGGTGGCTAACAACCACACGGTCACCGCAAAAAGTGGCCGATCGGACACAGAAGGAGCGAGACTTGGCACGGCCTGCGCTGTGCCAGGACGCAGGCCTGAAGCCGGAGGACTACGAGAACAATGAGCGCTGTGCTTCGATACTTGGAGCTTGTGTAGCGCAGGGATGGTCCCTATGGGTGTTGTAAAACTTATCACTGGCCATGATTTAACAAGGCCTGCCACCATCATCATTCACTGTTACTGCTAGTAGGATAGACCCGACATGGGTGTGTATATGTGTGTATGTTCAATAGGTTAGACACCCATTGGCGGTTTGCAACTCCCCAGTACCCACGGTGGACACGGTTTGTTCGGACTGGTCCGCAAGTCGTGGTGCCGACGACGGTCATGACTGGCTTCTTCGGTCAAACTGGGAGGTTTGAACAGGTGTGAAGCTACCTACCTAAAAGGGAAATCTAACATACAGTACATACATGGACGAGGCTTGGATGTGGTTTGCATCCGAAGTGCAAATCTCGATATTTCAAGCAGAATCAAGGTCCATCAAGCGATCCCGGAATACGATCCTGTTCAGTGAGTCAGTGTCAATGGTTGTTTATCATTTATCACGGAATACTGTAACATCATCCTCAAGTATAGATCCAATGTGCAAACATCCCAACAGTTAGAGGAATTTGGACAAAAGTGGACAACAATTGTTCTGCAGGAGGAGAAGGAAAAACGGAAGAAACACAGCAGAAAGAAGCAGGAACCACACGTGAGTAAAGGTTACGCGAGTGGATACGCGTATACTAGCAGGCAGACTACGTACATGCATCCTTGTGCCTTTCCAGCATAGACCTTACTTTGCGGACAAGCACCTGAGAATACCTGAGACATCGAATCTATGAAGATAGAGTATCGGTAGCAGCCACACCTTTATTCTTTGGACTTCTGTGGTTTCATTCTGTTGGCACCCGTAGCCGCTACGCCGCAAAAAAAGTATCACTGCCCACCCCAGCACACCCTCCAAACCATCCCGAGGATTCTGGGGCAGGGCGGCACTTCCATCCCAGACGTGATGGAGTCCTGCGGCTATGTGGCCGACCAGGCCCAGAAACTAAGAGAGATCGACACTCAGAGAGGCTGTAAAGGGTGGCGTGAGTGGACCAGCGCCGTGGGAAGACTATAAGATGTGAAAAGTTGCATCCATACCAAATGTTCAACATATTTCAACATATTGACACCACTAATTATAGCGCCTAGTTCTCTTTGCGAGCTTCTTTCCGACAATTGCCCAGACCCCCACATGCACATGGTGCAGCTTCCATTTTTGGGACGGGAACCCCCGAAACCCATGGGGTTTCGGGTGGAACCCGCGTCTCGCTCCGAGGTGAAGCGCTGGCCCAGTAAGGTGGGGCCCTACCGCGTGACACGCACGATGGGCTCCACCGTGTCGGCGGTGCTTTCCTCGGCCTTCAAACTGCAGGCGGGGGGCGATGCGGTGCGGCCGGGGTGTCTCGGAACGAGAGGCCGGGGTTGCAGTGTGAAACTCAGTGAAGCACCCCAAATGAGGATGAATACATATATATATATGATTTGCTATGATTTGCTTTATACATAATATAATGTGCTTTATACATAATATCAATTGCTTATATATATAATAAGTTATATGATGCTATATGGCTATATGATAAATAGTGTATGGCTTGAAAAAGCTCAGGACACTTTAAATGTATGAAACTTTTTGCTGGCATGATGGAGCAACAACAGCTTCGGGTGTGAATCCAAGGTGGCGCCTTTGCTGGCTTGGGATTCCCCTGTCCAATCATCCATTCTCTCACTTTCCCGACCCCAGCTGTTCCAAGTTGGGGACAGGTCATAATCGAATCATCCACTCATGACGCAAGACACTGCGAACCCCCACACACCCCTTCAATTTGACCAAACCAATTTGTAACTTTGGAGAACCCCTTTTGCCTCACCCTTGGTTCGTACCTCGGAAGTGGGGTATGTACAAGTACCTGCACTATGGGGGTCATGTCCCATGTTCTAAGGTACTTGAAGTCGGGTGCAGGTAGCTCCTATGGAGTTCCCAGACGTCCATCGCTCCGCCTGAACTCTGCCGATGGTCATGCCTGGCCTCCAAACGCCTCGTCTTCGGTAGGGCCCCTCCTTCTCCATCTCCTCAGCATGTTCCACGGGTGCGCACTGCATTGGGGTGGCCATGGAACAGATCCAACTGAACAAGGCGAGGCGGCTTTCCGATGCAACGAGCGGAAGGTGGGGATCCCAGGGGTGAAATCTTCAGTCCTTTGGGAAGCTGATGTAGGTGTCAGGCTCATACCTGGATCAACGGCTCAAAAAGCCAATGGAACAGGATTCATTGGCTCAACGGGTATGTGAGGAAAGGAATGGAAGCAGCTAGAGCACACAAGAAAGATCAAGAAAGATCAGTAAAATTGGCCCAAAGACCGTCATGGTGGAAAGACCGGTGTTAGCTGAATTTTGCAGGCGGATAAAAAACTGTCGCAAACACTCCATTGTTATACTCCCTGGCCCATACATAATGTTAAGTGCTGATGGGAAAGAATCAACAATAATCAAAACATGCCTTAAGATGAAAACAAAACACATTACTAGACAGTTCACAGATTTTATTCCGAGGGGTTTGGAGGGACCAAAATCGTGGTCGGTGCCGCATGGATGGCCAAAGGCCACGAGTTAGTTGAAATGACATGTGTACCCAGATGTACCTAGACCATCCATGGGACTGGAATATATGCCTACTGTAACATTGTAGGGCCCCGTTTCAAAGAAACCCGCTCTGCCGTGGATGATGAAAGGCATTGATGCGCCGTGTCGAAAGGTCCCCTGGAATAGAACAAAGCCCATAGATCCAGATGACGAACCATGGCATGCACCCACATATATGTCATAAGCCAACAAAGCCAACCAAGCCTTCAACATGACATGACCTTGCTTTGGGCCCCAACCAGAACATGACATGCATGTCGATATGCAGAAGCAGCCATTGCGTCATTGCATACTATACTCCATGAAGGCCTTCCACCGAGTCTCGAGATGGACAAACCATAGGCTCACATAAAGGTCACGGTCACGGGGATACGAACGGGACCCCAAAGAGGGTGTCCCGAAGGCTTCACTCTTTCCTTTATGGAACAGCTGCCATATGGACCGTCTCAAGACTTCAAGAGGCCGATATGGCTGTGGCTGGAGCCGGAGAGAACGAGTGTTGGCAGCCTCTCGGCGCAGAACGGCCTCTCTCGACTCTCGAGAGGCCGCTTGAGCTCCACGCGAGGCGAGGGGAGACCCCTCCCCTGCATCCAACAGAGTGATGCGAGATGTGGACCACATAGATTGCCTGGTACTGGTTGGTTGGCGAATGGACCACTGATTAACTGGGGATACACTCCGACTCGGAAATGGACAACGACCTGTTTATAGAGGCAAATGGTCTTTGCAGGGGCCGTTTTTCAGTTCCATGTTAGTGAGTCAGAATGTATATGGGCTTGTCTTTTTTTAAGGTGTCCAGTTTATGTAGGGCTGGGATGTTCGACTTAGGCGAAGCATACCCTGAAGCATAACCTCTGGAAATGCTACTACTTTAGTCTTCACACTGCGCGAAGCATACCCCGAAGCATACCCCCGAAGCATACCTCCGAAGCATACCCCATAGTCAAACATCCCGGCCCGGGAACCTTAAAAAAATACAAACCCATATATATATATATATAATCCCCAAGTGAACATGAAATAGGTACAATATGCCGTATCCACGCGACCCCTCTATTATTCCTTGGACATCATTTGGAGGAGGGCATCATCCACAATCAGTGGCATTTTCTTTGTGCCTCTAGCATCCTTTAGCATTGCATGTTTGTTGGATTGTAAAATCAGGAAGGGGTCCATGAGCACGCTAATAGGCACTAATGCACGCTAATGCACATTGTGCTGCTTCCTATAAGGCCAGTAGCAATTGCTACCTAAATGTTGGAACACCAGGGACACACCAGTAAGCATGTTTTAGCTTTGCCGCATGTTTCAGTCGAAGACGAGCGAGTTTTGGATCGTTGATGTTGAAGAAACACAACACACCTGTTGCACATGCTTTTGGCGCAATGGGTGATGTCGTTTTTTCCCAATTGGGTGAATGGCATGTTTCCCGGTGTCGGCCACAGCTTACAAGCCGGTTGAGAGCGAGGTTCACCGCCATGTTCGATTGCATGGGAGCCTTGTCCACGAAGCGCAACGCCGAGCCCACGAAGCTTGGAGAGCTTAATAGCGGGCGGGTATGTAATGGAGGAAAAAGACATGCCCACGTCGACGCTCTTGCACATAGTCCACAGCTTCGGCTAAGGAATGTGAACAACATCAGTCATGGGTATTGTCTTCCAAGACACTGTAAAACTACCAGGAAACCACTCCCAGATGAGTTTGGATTTGGGGCAGATCTCAAACTCAATTCATGTGAGGATGGGCAGCTGTTTTGCAGCTGCAGGCGTTTTTTGGGTGTCGAATTGTGATCGACTGGCGTATCTCGGGTCCTGTGGCTTCAGGCCACCACCAGTTGCATGCACTGTGGTCTTCACATCACGATCTTAAGGAAGACCTGGCCTGTAACTCCTGTGGCTCCTGTGTAACGTGTCCGGTGGAAGAATACAGTAGTTGTATCAGCCATTCTGCACTCCCGCAAAGGAGCTGTAGCTGCCGGTAGCTCTAGTCGCGGTGTGGGTTCACCTCGCGTCGGTTGGATGGGATGCCACCTCGAACTGAGGAATTCGATTCAGCCACCAGAATCATCCAGCCCTAAGGATCCAAGTACCTTCTCAGAAGGTGATTGAAGACTGTTATGAGAAGGTGCTTGGATCCCTAGGGAACCACTTCACTTCACCTGGCTTTGCATCTTTCTGGTGTTTTTTCTCCTCTCCCCGGATTTGGGTGAATCCCTTTCTGGGGTCGGTGCTGAGCTTGTCCCGGTTCCGAGTCTTCCCAGGAAGGCATCCCGAGCCTTCGACAAGGAGCGGGATGGCTTTGTGATCGCAGGTGCGGGTGCGGGTGCGGGGTACGCTAGACGGACGGGTACTTGTACGGCCGGGGGTGGACGGACGGCCCTTCTCCAATGGATTTAAAGGATTTAAAGTGTTTTGTTTCACAAAAGGATCCGCTGAGATCTCAGACACCGATGGGACTGGAATATTTGCATCGGTGGTTGAAAAGGATATAAAGGAGTACATGTCGGGAAATATGCCATACATGGAGTGCTTTGGGAATTATACATGCCACCCATTCGTGGCAGGTAGTGGCAATTAAGTGTCTTTCTTTCCCCACTACCTGCCACGAAGGGGTGGCAAGGCATATCCTGCGTTGGAGTGGATTTGTGCGCAAGTCGTGTCCTATCATCAGGTTAAGGCTGATTTGGTTGTTGATTTTCGGGGGTGCTACAGTAGATGGACAAAATATTCAAACCCAGGGAGCTGTAATTCGTACGCCTAAGGGGTATTTCAATGGCACTTTATAACTCACTGCCACATGGGCTAGGTCACGACGTCCAGAGGACGAAGGCGATTCGCCTCCGTGCCCCCACCCGGGTGTCCTCCTGACTCCTCTTACTCCGCCCGAATTGTTCCTTTGGTCGGTCGGTCGGTTTCCGGCTGCGAGGTGGTGGTGGCATGGTCGTCCTGGAGGAGCTGGAGCACGCGAAAGCCCGTGGAGCCAGGACAGCATTCCCATTCGACGCGACGTGGAGCCAGGACTGGTTCTTCGCCATGAAAGATGCCGCCCCATTGACCCCGTTTCAACCACTGTAAATATGCCATACATGGAGCGTTTGGGTACGGAATTGCCACGTAAATCGAAATCGTGTGACCTGTGATTTAGGGCTTAGTGGAAAGCACCAATTCCACAGCCAAACCCTTAGAGCCTTAGACTCCCCCCAACAACAATTGTCCCTTCCAGTCTTCCGGTTCCCCCCTCTCTGATTTGACTCGGTAGCGAATGGAGATGTGAAGATTGGAGTCACTGAGGACAATGGAAGGGTGCAACAAGAGGTTGAAGAGCTGTAGACGATCCCACAGGATCCCATAAGTACTCCAGGTTCACGTAATCACCTCTTTTGGAAGGTCCAAAGTCGCCATCAGATAACATCAGTTTGGGTGGAAGGCTTTTCAAACACCCGTCCAGGACCCCTGACCATCTTGAGAGCTTAACGGCCAGAAATGAAATGAAATACAGTTTTTGATAGTTTTGGTGTTTATAATTTACAGCGATATGGATAGATCAAACTCCATTATATTCTATTTGAAGTTAAAATTATATAGACCAATGGCAGCCGTTTTAAGTCGGTTTTGTTCGACCAATTCATCAAAACATCTTAGTTTCCGTTTATGTGTCTATCCAAACGTGGATAGACCAACATACATAAGCAGTTTTTGCAAATTTACCGGCCAAGACTGCACCGGTCGAACGGGAGCACGAAAAAGCGGACGAACCAAAGAGTGACGACCGGACGACCCAAGAGCGACTTTCCTCTGAAACAGTCCGTTGGTTCTTTCGAAACATCAGGATTCACAGTCAGACACTCCATTCGGACTGGAATAGGGCCCCAATTGATTCCTTTCAACCACAGATAAATAGTCCCATGGAGCGTATGGGTAAGGAACCCTGAAAAGATTCCAAGATGTGAAACTTGGTTTTGCGGCCCCCACCTATGGAAGCCGGTCAAAAACCATCCCAGGACATGTTTCATCGCCCGCTAAAAAAGCCGTGTCCTACGGGTTTTTTTTGCCACTCGATTCGCTGGAGGATCTACGGAGAGCTGGTGGGCTATGCAGCCAACTCAGATGGCTACGATGTGGTTGCACCCTCTGGAGTTGCTTGATTGCTGATATTGAGGGATGGATACATCAAGAATGCAGAGGCCTAAGACTTTAGGTGTCCAATGAGTGTGTGTGTGCTTTAGCCGCTGTCATGAATTCTCAATGGCTCTGAGGTAGACATCATGTACTTTTGAGGCATACTCATGAGATGTTTTTCATCCTTTGGCCCCAGAACTTTTGGAGCGACCAGCGTAATATATCAGTTTCCAACCAAGATGTTGGAGGTATTGGAGAACTGTACGGACCCACCAAAAAGTGTGTAATCTTTTCAAGTGGCTTTTGGCCACAAAACTGTTTGTGCACCTGTATATATGATACTGTAGATACTATATCATCTACCAGGACCACCCAACGGTGGTCATTGCATGATACATACAATTTGGAAGAGGGAGAATCACTTTGCCATACATAGCTTTGACACAAAAGTCTGTTGGTCGCAAGCCATGTGTTGTTCAAGAAAAAAAAGTATATATGTATACATATATTAGTATGCCCAATTTGTGTTCTGTTCTGGAACCCTTCTGCGAGGTTGGCGGTGAGAAATGCCACTCGGTTGGCAAGAAGTGCCTCTTTTTGCGGACGACTACGCGATTTGTGACTGAGGTCCTTGAAAAGTATTCTTTGTTTCAGAAGGTGTCGATGGTTCTCTATCTTTATGGAGCATTTGAAGCATATTTGTCCAATTTTTGGATGTTTACGGTTCTTCGTGACGGACATGCGATTCTCAGAATTTTGAATGGTTTCTTACCAACATCTCATGTTCTGTGACAAGATCAGCTCATCTAGACCAGTCCCTCCTTTGCGAGTTTTTTTGGCAAAGTCACTGGTGAAGGTGATCCACATTGATCAACATCGATCAACCTGGATCCTTGGCTGTCCTCACTGGCGGCAGTGAAGTCCGAGAAAATTTGGCTCAAACCACTGGATGCAGTTGAAGAAGACATATGTAGTGCATCAAGCTGACATATGCACTGCTTTTGGACTGAAGCTGACATTCATGCACTGGATGCACATGTCGTCAGCTCAGAAGATTTGGGATGTTTTTTCGCATGCTCCAAGCAGCAGCAGATCCCGTCATCTGCAGTTGCGAATCTTTCGCCAGTGATATGTATTTGTGTATTTCAATAAGAGCACGTGTTACCCCAACCATTGGGTAGACTGGTCTATGTTCCTTCTGAACCGGGGTAACATTGGGAGGTCTCCCAATGTTAATGCACACCCAAATAAATAGTGATAAGGTCATCCCTTTAAAGCATTGCCCTCCCTTTCAGCCTCCTTTTGGGCTTGGGCTTTGTGCCTTCGCTTTGGGGAAACTTGGAGGACAGACATCAAGTTCGGATAGCAGACATCAGCATGGCTGTGTGCTGGTCTTATGAGCCTTGGCAACTGACCCATTGGCAATGGGGGGTCCATTTAACTTTCCAAAATCATCCAGGTTTAACAAACGTAACTATATAACTAACTTACTTACTTACCTTCCATCAACTATATAACTAACCCTCCAAAATCATCCATCATCATTTGCACACCACTAACTATCCCTTTTCACCATGGCCATCTCCTTGCTCCCAACGTGCCCGACCTCTGGTCGCGCACCGGGCGGCCTTGCTGGAACTGCGCACCGAGCTGCTTATGGAAGCTGTGCGCCGAAGAGTGCAGCGAGCGGGGACCGCCGGCTGAGAGCAGCTGTCATCGGGGTGCTTTGGTCTTGGAGGTCTTATTCTTGCACTTTCTGGCACGAATTACATGACATGTTTTACAAACGTGGAATGAAGTGGAACATGGATGATAATGATTTTTGGGAAGCCATTTCCTTGAGAATGTTCTTGTTCCATGTTACGAGCCGGAATTTACTCTACTAGAAGAGAAGATGGCACAGATCCCCTATATAGTTAAAAAGATGGATTCACCTTTTGCCTTTACCTACTCTTTTGTCCACCTCTTTATCACCAGCTCGTGTATGTGTGGATATGTCAATGCTTCTCCTTGAAAATACATGACTAAGACATGCTAAGACTAGCAGCAGGGTTGGCTATGTCACAATGTCCATGCTGAGAATGCTCCTACTTCCAAGAATTGCGCGCACATGGGAGACCCACCGGTCGAACGTCGTTACCAAAACGATGGGGCAGGGATGCTCCTGCCTTTTTTTTGCGTTCATATATGGGTGGTTCTCATGCTGTAGGCAGTGGTCCCACCGTTCAAGCTGGTTTTTCGCCTGGTTTGTCCATTCAAGTGAACCATGTGGAAAAAGGTTTGCCAGAAAAACTCAGGGAGCCAGATGCAGTCCTTAGCTCGTGCCCAGTTTTTCGGATAATGCGAGTGAATGTGTGGGGTGTTCGAGAAGTTTCAGGGTGAACGAAGGGGAAAGTTTCTTCCTAATTCATTGACAGCCTGTGAAAGCCTTGATTATCCTTGAGTATACCTTGGGTTGTCACATCCCAAGCAGTAGTGTGGTACTTATATATATTGTATCGCACTCCGAAAATCATGACTTTGAGTTCAGTTCTCTCAACTCGCAATCATCATTGCCGTCCTGGGTGGGGTTTACAATGCCTATAGTGCGCCTGGGTCGGTTTGAAATGTCTCCAGGCGAGCTTCGCTTCGACGCTCCGAGGCGGGCCTTTGGAGATGCTTCTCGGTCCGACGAATCCGACGAAGAGCAGAGAAAGGAGAGTCTTCAGTCCAGAGATGCTTGGTGGGAACGAACCGATGGGTTCAGTGGAGAAATTCCCCGCGTGGCCGCCGGGGGAAACTTCTAGAACTTGACTCCAAGAACACTAAGTGGAAAGAAATGGAACACGCTGAACGTGGGTTTCCAGAAAAGCTCATCAAACATTGAGGTTGGAACCAGCTCAACCATTGAAGGTTAGGGTCTTGGAGGGTCTGGGCGAACGGGACTTCGGGGATGAAGACCGGAAACTGAATGGCAGCCGGTTCCATGAGATGGAGGTGTTTGGCACTGATGAGTCAGCCATGTGCTTGTTGCTTAAAGTGTGCTATTCTTGAGCGTTCAATGTCGTTGTCAATGTGAGTTCTCAAATGGTTACTTCTTGAGAGGTTGAAGGATTCCACATTTGTGTGAGAGAACCCATTTCTTCCTCACTTCACACCTCCAGGTCTAAGTTCCTGTTGTTCCCGTGGTTTTCCTGTCTCCCGGTCTCCGTTGCCCAGAATGGTTCGAAGAGAAGAAGGCCGAAGGCACCGCCGCCGCGGGGGGCGCCGTGCTGGGCGGCATGCTGGGCGGGCCCATCGGCGCTGTGGTGGGCTCCCAGGCGCGTCAGCGCGCCGAGGAGCTGGGGGGGTGCGAGCTCGCTGCTTGGGAGGGTTCCACGATGTGAGCCTGGGTTATAAGTACGGTGGAAGGGGAAGTGTATGGAATGGGAAGCAAAGGAGCTCAGTACAAGGGAGTTGAAGAAGCAGTTGCTGGTGTGGTTCAGATGTTCGGAAGTGAAGAGACATGGCACCGGAGGGAATTGCCACGTGTGTGGTGTTGGAAACAGCTGCAGTGATGACGATGTCTTAAGTCTTGAAAAGTTGGATCTACAGTGATTCCTCCCTGGAACCCCAAACAACCAGAAAGAAATGGATGTTTCTCCATTTCCAGCCATTTCCGTAAAGGATTTCAAGCAAGCCATATGGAACAACCATTTGTTTCCGGTTGTTTGGGGTGTGATTCCTCCAGGCATCGTTGCAGCTGGTATGTTTCAATATGGCTTCTCTCGGCTCACAGACAAGACTCGTTCGCTTTCAGAGGTAAGGACATCTTTGTCCTTTGATCCGGCTTGGGGCTTGGGGTACATGATAACAACGTCATGTCAGTGCATATACTGTTATATTCAATGATGGTATAAATTTACAGTTGGAGGGCCTCCTCCCTGGCTCGAATGGGCCTTTGGGGTATTTTGCCATGTTGTTGGAAATTCGTTCATGGCTTCGAAGCTGAACATGGAAACATGGTGGCTTGCAACATGGGGAAACCTTAAAGGGGTGCTGCTAGGGCTGCTAGGGATTTAAATGTCCCTGGGTAATGTAAAAATAACATTGTAAATCACAGAAACTTGCCGGGTCCTGACATGGTTTGTGTGGTTTTTCCCCACCTGCTCGGGAACACTGGCACAGGTGGCCTCAAAGATAGGCCCCGTCTTGAACAATGCCTTGGACGCTATGGAGGTGGACGAAGGCGATGAGGAGAAAGAGGAGGTGTCGAAGAAAGAAGCCAAAGAGACCAAAGATGTCCAGGCTGGACAGGAGCCACCGACATGGCTATGGATCTATCATGGACCCATGGATATGTTGCTGACTTGGACTAATTGCTCTGACAGGATTTATGTGCTAAGAAGTAGTGACAACCCATGTGAGTTGTAGAACATGGTGAGGGGGTTGTTTTCCAAGACCCTCCTTCTAAGTAGATTAAGAGCGGACTATTCGGCGCCACACAGTTGGCTGGACATTTGCCTTTCACAAGTGGATCACATTTCCTTGGCCAATGGACTGGGGATGACCGCGGGGTCCTCTAGCGAGCAGACTGGCCAAAGCTCCGGAATGGCACGACCCATTTCTCAGAAGCCCCTTTGTTTCGGCTCGCGTCATCCAAAAAAAAACAGACGGAACTTCACCACGTTCCAACAAAGGTTCAAGAACCCTCTAGACTCTAGACTCTAGACCATCCCATAGGTAGCCCAGGTCGACCGGGTCCTGTTTTTCAGCTCACTCAACCTTTCTTGCTTGGCCGAACGCCCTCCCGGGACTTCTGTGAGCTGCTCCGATCCAGCAGCCCATTTTTGGGGCTTGCATATAGCATCATATAGCACATAAATTCAATAGCGGCTAAACATTTATATAATACACATACAATATATATTGTTTAATGTATAAAAGGCTAATGTTTAAATATATATATATATACTGTATTATAGTTTAATGTCGTTTAACATGTTTCACCCGGTTTCACCCCAAAGCCACATCCACCTTCCAAAAGGCAAGTTTCGGACACTTCGACGTCAGGAGACGAAGCCGCCGACGGCCACGCCGACGGCCACGCCGACGGCCACGCCCGGTGGGGCGAGTGCTGTCGACGCTCCACGGGTGAAGGCAGTGTTTTTTTTGACTGGAGAAACGAGCCCAAGGAGACGACCAAAAGAATCTGCCACTGATAGGAGGAGCACCAACATGAGCTATAAATACGACAGCTGCATATTGACAACTCATCAAGCATTGCTGGTCCGAAAGAATTGGATATATAAAACACACACCCAAGACATCCCAAGACAAGTTAGGAGGTAGACTGAGATGACTTCTTGATGTCCTGCGAGACGATTGAAACGCCTCGCTTCTAGGCATTTGAAATCGCTCAGTAAATTGCCCTGAGCCATGGCAGAAATGAGCAGTTCTCGCAGAAAAAACACACCTGGAGTCTAGAAAGGGTACAAGTACCTGTTTTTATAGGGTTATCTCACATTTTACCAATATTTTCCATGGTATTTTAGAGGGCCCAGGAGTATACTGTTCAAGGACTGGTGGGCGGAGGGACGGGCACATCCC